ATTAACGCTTATTAATTGAATGTGTGGTCCTTTAGATGTACCATTTTTAACGTTCTTTATTCTTTCCTGCAACTCCAACCATTCATCTGGAATGATATTCCTTCTGCTTGAGAACAAGTACCCCTAACTTTCTTGGTTTTGGTTTGTCTGAATATATCTTTATGTCACCTTTGTTTTTGAAGGACATTTTTTTCTCTGGGTATAGGTTTCTAAGTGGGAGTAATTTTCTTTCAGCACATGTACAATATTTTTTTTACTGTCTATGACTTCCGTTTTTACTGTGGGGAAAAAAAGTTGTCAATTTAATGGTTGCTCCTTCAAGGATAATCAATACTTTTTTCTATTTTAAAGACTTTATTTTTTATTTAATTTCCTGCAGTTTCACTCCGATGGGTCTAGTTATGAATATTTTTTTATCTTATTTGAATTTTGTTGAACTTGAATCTGTGGCTTGATGTAGTTCACTCACTTTTTAAGTTTCTCAGCCATTATCTGTTCACATATGGCTTCTATTCTATTATTTCCCTCTTTCCTGGGCTCCAAATAAAGTAGTTTCAGACTTTCTCACACTATCCTCTATGCCTCTAACCCTCTCATATATTTTTTATTCCTTTTTATCCATACTTTATTCTGGGTAATTTCTTCTGTCTTTCCTTCCGATTCATTACTCAATCCTTAGTGGAGTCTAACTTGCTGTTAAACCCATCAATTGGTTCTGAATTTTGGTTTTTGAATATTTTGGAGCTGGATTTTCTACCTTACTCTCAGGTTTTCCCTAGGAGTGCAGCCTTCCAGGATCCTAACCCCAAACAGGACAGTGGTTTACCAGGGTTCTCACCCTTGGGGACACCTGGACTCCAACTTTTGTCTCACTCGCCCCACACAGCCTGTTTTCTGCCGTCCATTGGGATCAGCAAATGACCCCAGGGTAAAAGCAGCCCACTGCTGGTCTCACCTCTCTATTTTCCGGTCCTTTCCTGCTCTCACACCAATAATTCCTCACTGTCTTACCAATGCTTTGATTTTTAAAAGTATTTCATCCAACATTTTAGTTGTCTTCAGCTCAGGGATTAGACACATTATTTCATCCACCATTGTTGATGGAGGAGCTCAATTACTAAATGAGATTTTTAGCCCAGTCTTTTCTCCTGAGCTCCAGCTCCACTAATTCAAGGACCTACTGGACACCTCCATTTAGCTATCTACAGGCACCTCAAACCCCGTAAACTACAATTGTTATCATCTCCAAAAACCTGCTTCTTCCGCTTCTCAAAGAACCGGTCAATGTCACCTTGACTTCAGTTATTTGTATTCTATCTTCTCTTCCTGAAGTCCAGTTGATTCTACTTACAAAACATGTCCCTATAGTCAATAATNGCTCAGTTCTCAGATAGCAGAGTGGCGCAGCGGAAGCGTGCTGGGCCCATAACCCAGAGGTCGATGGATCGAAACCATCCTCTGCTATCAAGTGTTTTTTTCCTCCCCAGTATAAAAATGTTAATTTCTTTAGTAAATGTGAACACCAGTTTCTTTTTTTTTTTTCTCCCTCTAAAAGGCAGTCTTGAGAAGCTGCTTTTGCCATTATTAAGCGAAATGGGGGGAATAGGAGAGAATTAGGCAACAATGAACACTAACGCAGAAGAAGCGGAGTTGAGGAAAGAGAGCAGTGTATTGACTGAATCAGAGACGGGAAAACACTGATGGTGAGGGACTACTAAAAGGGAAACTGAGGCAGCTTTGGAAACAGGTCTCAGAAAAAGAGAGCAATGGAAGTAGTAAAGAGAGAAGGGCCAGACCCATCCCCGTTGCCCAGTTTCACACCATCTGTATTCTTTCCTCTCTCTACAAACTGGCGGATTTTACCCTTCTAGGACGTTTCAACAACCACATTTACGAATATAGTGTATTTGCATTCAAATCAATCATATTACTATGTGCGCTGTCCTCCTATAATCCTCTCTGCCCTACTTGCCTTCTTTTGCACTGATAGTTTATAATTCCCTCCTAGCCTCTGTTAATTGAAAGTTACGCACTCTTTTTCTCCTCTTTTAGTGGTTACCCTAAAAATTACAACGTGCATCCTTAACTTAGCAAACTCTAGTTTTATGTAATACTTTCACCCTCTTCGTGAAAAATGAAGGAATAATTTAATTTAATCCCATTTACCACCATTACTCCCTCCAGAATTATACTATTGCTGTTGTGTAATTCTTTTAAATACGTTATTGATGTATAATTTACTACAACAAAATGCACAGATCTTAAGCCTACAGCTCGATTAATTTTGAGCAATGCAGTCCATCCATGTAACCACCACCAGATTAAGGTAAAGAAATTTTTATCCCTTCAGCAAGTTGGTTCATACCTCCTTGCCTTGCCCACAGAGACAATCACTGTTCCGATTTCTATTATCATAGATTAGTTTTGTCTGTTCTGGACCTTCACATAAATAGACCCAGAGGGTTTGTACTCTTTTTTTGCCTAGCTTCTTTTGCTTGACACGTTTCAAGATTCTTCCATGGTTTTGCATTTATCAGCAATTTATTTCTTTTTATGTATGAGTAGCATTCCATTGCATAAATATACCACAGTTTGTTTGTCCCTTCTCCTGTTGATGAATTCAGGACCTCCAACTGGCTGAGACACAGGCGAACACTTTTGGGTTGTTTCCAGTTTGAGGCCTTTATATGAATAAAGCTGCTATGAACATTTGTGTACAAGATTCTTGTAGTCAGACGCA